GATAACAGATTTTACTCCTAGGATAAACTATTTAAAGAGTACAGTGCTTAAACAGTGTACATAAAATAACATGCCAAGCCTACAACTTGCAGATTGAGCAAAGTAAAGAGAGATTGTGGAACAATAGGAAATAAAAATTTCTACACCGTGCTGTCGCCCATAAATGTTCCACGTCATGTTTCCGTCTTGTCCATCATGTATTCTTATAGGTCTGATGTCCGATCCTCTTTCTACATTCTCAATCTCAGTCGATTTTCACCGAAGAGTAGATCTTTCGAACAAACCAGAAGCAAGCATAGAAGCCGATTGTCCCTGTTAGGACAAAGAAAGAATATGAAACGATAACCATGTACCCTAAGTAAAGGATGCCTGAAACCAGCTTTGTGATCTCCAACTTGGTAAAGAAGTAGAAAACCGAGTAAAGGAAAAGGTAAAGGGCAGAGGAGCCGGCAGTCAAGTAGGATCTCCACCACCAACGGTAATCTTCACCGCACAACTGGAAGTAGCAAAGCACGATTGTTATCTCGGCACAAGTGATTATAAGAATAACGAACACTATGAAAAGGAAGCCAAAGATGTAATAGAACTGGTTCAGCCATATTGATGTCAAGATGAAGAAGAGCTCAATAAAAACAGCCCCGAATGGAAGAATGCCTCCGACGAGTATAGAGAAGACTGGCTTCATATACCATGACTGCTCAGCTATTTGCCTCGGGATTTTGTTGGTCTTCACGGGATCTTCAATAGGTGGCTTTTTGAAACCCAAGTAACTGCCGACAAAGACTAAAGGAACTGATATACCGAACCATAAGCAAACAAGAGCAAACATTGTTCCGAATGGCACTGCACCAGAAGATTGCTCTCCCCAAATTAGTGCATTCAGCACAAAGAAGATGGCAAATAGGATACCCGGAAACATGAATGCTGTTTTCAAAGTAATTCTCTTCCACTCAGCGCCCTTGAACATTTTGTATAGACGTGCTGAAGAGTAACCGGCAAATATTCCCATGAAAACCCACAACAGAACCATAGCAGTCATAAGCCCTCCACGATTGGAAGGAGATAAAAAACCCAGCAATGCAAATATCATCGTCACAAGTGACATTGAAAAAATCTGGACACCTGTGCCAACATAAACACAGAGTAAACCATAATTGATAGGAGGCCTAAAGACATCCCCATGGACAAGTTTCCATCCCGTTTCTTCCTGAGCCTCATCTTGGGTTTCCAACTGATTATAGTTTGCGATATCTTTGTACAATGTTCTCATCATGATCATGGCCACCATGCCAGATAGGAAGAGAACAATCATCAACGAGTTTATGATGGAGAACCAGTGGATCTGATCATCATTCATCAGAAGGTATGTGTCCCAGCGAGAAGCCCATTTGATATCACTCTCCTGAAGAAAACCATAAATTAAGATGTGCATTAGGATTACAGTGGGGGAAAATATGGCAAGGAAGAGAAAGGGAAGGCTACTCACCTTGAAAGTTACGTCATATGTAAAAACAACCTCCTTGTCCATGTTAACTTCTTGCGGAACAGTGCTACCTTGAATTATATTTTTGGTGTCCTTATTGCATGTTGTTACCTGGGGATTCTTCTCATCCCATTCCTTGTATTCATGATTAATACTGTTTACAAGAGACAACGGATGAGTCATTTGATAAGCAATAGAGAATAACCATAATTCTAAAAATGTTAGTTTCTTATGTTGCATGATGAAGGCAAATTTCATCACAATTTCACATCCCTTTTGAGTAGCATATTTCAAAAGAACAATTGAAATTGCTAATTAGAATCAAATTGAAGAGGATTGCATTAAAACAACTCACAATGACCAAGTTAGAATCAAATCCACAAAACCTAACTAAATGTTGAAACAAATGCAAATGAACAAAATGAAAGCAAAAGGGAATTGATAGAAAACCTGTTTGGAGTAACCTCAAATCCAACAATTCGAGCAGCATCAGTCTCGGTATCCCTGTGAAACATGACCCTGAAGCTCAAGTGATTGTTGATAAAATACTTCTCCTCCTTGCTCTGCAATGACACATGAATTTCAAGAAAAGATAAGAAACAAATAAATCTTTGAAAGTAATACTAGCTTCCCAGAGCATCATACCCCAGCATAATTCCCTTTGAACCCAACACGGAAACCATGTTCATATGTTGTTAACTGATTCCCATCTCTCCTTTGTCTAAGTACCGCAACTGGAAGGTTGTCGAGAATCCTGTCATCAACTCCATCTAATTTAGTATAAACATGCACCATATATATACAAGCAGTAAAAGGAGGAAAACAAAAATTAAAGAAATAAAGGGTAAGAATCACATAAAACATCTCCAAAAAGAAGGAACAAGGAAATAATGAATCTTAGGCATCACATTTATTACTTACATATTAACTCGATATTCATCATCAATTTTTTCCTTGAAATTCTTTGCAGATTCAGCATCAAGTTTTTTTCGACAGACTACTTTACAAGGCTTATCCTCCCTCATTTCAAACTAAAGGGGGAAAAAAGATAAACACAAAGTAAGATTGAAGATATAATCTACAAAGCTTTTAATAGAAAACCAGTTGTCACCAACAGCATATAAATACATAAGGTACATATGCTCACGGTGTAGACAGAATTCTCAATGCGGTCACCACGTAGCACCTCCCCCAAATTTTCAGCATTGTTCACAATCTTGGGTGGCTTACAGTAGTTCAAGTAATAATAATCATACGGAAGTTGCGTCTTTGTAGATGACAATTTGTTCACTTTTACAGAAAGGGGATCACCCTGTTCAGAATCAGGAAAAAAAGACAATTTAAGACTTATTACAACTAATAACAATAAAGGGGGGAAATCGAAACACAAAATATCTTGAAACAAAATTTAGAATTGGAATAATAAAACATGAATATTTCCTCCACTGATCCATTGCTTTCAAAACTAGAAAATGGAAAAATATTTTCAAGTAAAATAATATGGACCCTTGAGGACGACCCTATAGTGAAATGCAAAACAGCATCGTGGATTTACAGCCATCAAACCACACCAAAAGCCTCCAGGATCAAAGTGCTAAGTTATAAGCTTTGATTAAAAAAATTAAACATGAATCACAATAATTATACTATGAACCTAAAACTAGATCACTTTAAGGATTCACAAAGGGTATTTGATATTCACATTACAAAATCTGGAGACACGGTGCTTTTTCGAGAATCATACATCTTTGCAAGTCGAATATGAAGATTCAACAAGCATAATAAGTAAATCAAAAAGTTCTTGCACGAAATCACAGTTTGTCTTACATTCTCTTGAAAACCTAATACAGTAGCTAAATATCTTGCCAAAAGTTACAGTCAAATATGCAATCTGCAAGTTATATCCTAAACATTCCATTATTTGTTAAGAAAAATATGATCATCCTAGCATTAAGATTTTACAAAAAAAAATGGTAGCAGCAAACTATGTTGCTTCAACTCTTTATATTTGTCAAAGTAAGCATGTCCGCCACTTCCGTATCCTCCAATGGAAAAACATAGAAAAATCTGATCATAGCCGTGCTCAAATCGGAGTCGAGCAACATAGTTAGCAAATTTTGTTAAGCTTACACTGGTACTAATCCAGTTCAGAATCACAATCCAAAACAGGCAACACAATCATCATTGAATAGAAAACAAAATCAACATCCAAGATTGAAAGAAAAAATTAAAACTCAAAAGGAGAAAGAACACAACTACAGATCTAAAAGAGAAATGAATACACCAACGCATCAGATCAAACCTTGAAAGCCCTAGATCCAACTCCAATATCCCATCAACAAAGACTCACCCATGAATCAACGCAAACATTAAAGGTTAAACACGAAAAAAATATGAACCCAGAGAGGGATAAAGGGGAGAAAAGTACCTTTTGGAAATCGCGAGGGGCGACACCAGGGAGGTAGAAGGAATGAGCAGTGGATAGTAGCAGCAGAAAAGCGAAGAATAGAGTCTTCCTTTTCGTACCCATTTCTCTGCTTCAAACAGATAGATTGGAGGAGAAATATTAGTAAAGAGTTGACAGCGTTGGAAAGAAAACAAAATATGGAAAAAAAGGTAAATTCACAAATACCGATAAAATAAATAAATGGGATAATATCACATTTGATATGTGTACTTTAATAATATATATACAATGTGATACTTAATACTTTTAAACTATTCAATCTGGTACCTTTCCTTTGATAAAATATACAATATGGTATATGTACTTTGATAATTGTTCAATGTGGTATTCATACTTTTAAAATATTTAATATAATATCTGTATTTTATCAAAATATTCAATATGATATATGAATTTTTATTTCGTATATTAATATTACATCAAACGTTTTAAAAAATATAATAATACTTAGACATTCTGTCAAAATACGTGTACCATATTACATATTTTAAAAATATATCACATTAAATATTTTATCAAAACATATATATTAAGTGTGATATTAACCCTAAATAAATTCACATGATTTTCCATGATTTTAAAATATAAATTTGACTTTTAAAATATAACATACCGATAGATAACACATTTGCTATTTGGTTAAGACTTGTAATAATTGAAGTTTGTAAGTAATAGTGGATGATTACAATAAATTACAAAGTGCAATGTAATTTTAAACAATTTTGAAATTATAATATATAAATTTAGATAATAAAAAACGCATTATAAATTAAAAAATTTAATTTAATTGTAGTATTTTTTATAAAATAATATAAATATTACATTTATATTTTTAATATTGTATCAACTAAACTTTAATTCGATTAATATCAGTTGAAGTTAATGTATTTAAACATAATTGTCATTGATTTTGTAAAGTACATCAGTCGGATTAAATTTCGATTATCGATGCAATCAATCTGGTCAGTGTGACACTAGATCAGTCCACATGTAATTTGCACATCGGCCGACCATGGGACGTCATTCCCCTAACCAACAAAGAATTGTCTATTCGTACCACAATTTTCTTCTCTACAATTACGCGCATGAGAAAGGATAGTCCTAAAACAACAAATCTTAGCTTCAACAAACTTACAACTCCAACATACAACAATTAAGCATTTTCTCTAATTTTTTTCACATGCCAGAATGTGTGATTTAAACTTATCTAGCTCGGACAGGACTTCATCGACCGGACGATAAATCAGATCGATCATCCGCCATATCTGCATGGAAACATCACTTTTTTCAGCCAACTTTGTTTGGTTAAACACGGAAAATAAAAGAAGTTAAGGGAAGCATCATAACTCCATGGTAGTTTAACGTGATATAAATCTATGACGAGGGCTTTTTCTATCTAATTTTCTAAGTCGAAGTATCCGGAAGTCAATATGGTACCATCTTATGCAATTTAATCACTACTGATTCCGAACGGCAGCATTTAGTACACAGACGAGGAAGTGTCTGTATCACCTCCCTATTGCTCATGATGCAAGCATGTTCTAGATGGCGCCAGGACAAGACAAAGGAGGTAATGAGGTCCTAACTCACAGCATAAGCTTTCTCAAAAGTCAACATTGTAAAGAGATGAGCCATGTTAGTCATAACACTTCATTTTTCTTGAAATATCCAACACTAGTGTCCAAAACATTTGAACACAAGTCGGGATATATGACCCACCAAATATATAGAAAAAAAATTGATAAAAAAATAAACATACTTTTGTTGGACACATGACCATATCTAACACTCACACCCGAATCGGACTAGCATGGCTGTTGAGCACCAGTTTAAGGACACGGTATAAATGATTGACAAGCAACCTAAAGCCTCAATAAGGTAAAATTAGCCAAAAGACTTCAAAATGCCGTAGGTAGTTTTAATTACCTGTAGAGTACCACCACCATTAGTGCTTTCACAATCATCTGACACGCTGACAATTGTCCATGGATCAGATGTATTCCAATGGAAGTCCACAACCTTGTCTCTGAACATATGTAATATACAATTTAATCACCCAATAACAAAATGCTTTTCAAAAAGATCACAATTGACACTAAAGTTCAGTGTTAAAATATCATGCAAGTTTACCGTCCGCTAAATGGGATATTGAAACTAAGAATTCCAATATGTCAAAGTAGATTCTAAAATTCAACGATCATACAAAAGGGTTCCATGGAAGGTTAATTCACTTTTTTATATAATGAAACAAATTTAACCAGTTTTTGTTAATTTAACAAGAAATATGACGTGGCCTCGAAAATAATGCATAACTAGAATATGATAAACCGGCCATCAAGTAAAATACGTATGCAGAATAAAGATGACCTTTCCGGCATATCTCATACATACATTACAAAAAGCAGCAATTATATTGATTTTTTTTGCTACGTAAAGGATATGGAAACCCGTACCTATGCCCTGCATGTTGAAAGAACAATCCAGGAGGAGCATTTGGTGCCTTCAATCCAGCAGTTTCTTGCTTTTTCGCAATCTGAAACAAATTTGTTAAACATGCAGTAGCAGAAATACACACACTCACATGTATATATGGAAAGATTTGATGAATGTTGTCTTGCAGAAGCGTTTAGATTCACACCCTTTCATGATCCCAGATGTTTAAGATTCCATCCTCGGCAGAACTTCCAAAGACAGATGACTTGTCTGGGGACCACTGCAAATACAAGAATATTTTTTCAATAATATAAGCATCTAAACATATTCTGTAACATATATATATTACAAAGAACAATGGAGATTTTGAGCTGAGAATGTCAAGAGTTAAATTGGCACCTGAACACACAAGACAGCAGCACTGTGACCCACAAATTTATGAACCGGTGATCCAACTCCACCAGAGGAGAGGTTTCGGCGGTCAAACATGTGAATAGTATTATCAGCAGACCTAGTAAAAGCAGAGTGAATTGAAGGCAACCAAAAAACATGCATAGATATTGGTCGAAAGAAAGAACACCCTACACTGCAACCTAGTAGAGAAAACAAGTGTAATGTCTAACGGATATTTATACCCAGTCAAAATGAGATTTATATCATGACGATTCCAATCAACGCAATGAATATCAGCATTATGAGCTTTCTCAACCTGCCCATTCACAAAAAATAATCCATAAGCAATTTAGCAAATAATATATAGGCTCTAATGATCGTTCTTTCATGTTATCTCATTTGCAATTTGCGGATGACTTAATAATTTTTAGTAAGGCTTCTATTCATGATTTGGTGAATATTAGAAGGGTGCTTTTAATTTATGAACTGATGGTGGGTTTGAAGTTGAATCTGTCTAAGAGCAGAATTTTTGGAATTAATGTGGGGGAGGAGGAACTAGTTTCATGGGCAAAGGAAATAGGGTGCGTAAGGGGAGTTTTTCCTTCGGAGTACTTAGGTCTTCCATTGGGGGCCAAGAGGAATTCTTTTTCCCTGTGGGAACCGATTGTACAAAAATTTTATAATAGTTTCCGGTTGGAAGGCCAAGTCTTTATGCTGGAAGGGTTGTCTTGGTTAAATCGGTGTTGTGCTCTCTTCCAATTCACTATCTTTCTATTTTTCGGATCCCTATTAGTGTTCTCAACAAACTAAACTCTATCATGGCATCGTTTCTATGGGGGGGGATCATCAGATAAAAAGAACATTCATTGGATCAAGTGGGATTTGGTGTGTAAGCCAAAGAAGTTGGGGGGTTTAGGGATTCTGAATATGTTGCTATTAAACAAGGCTCTTATGGGGAAATGAGTGTGGAAATTTGCTGCAGAGAAAAATTCTTGGTGGAAATCAGTTGTGTGTTGTGTTTACAATATGGATCCTAATTCATTGATGATCCGGAATACTTGGACAGCTCGTACTTCTTGGATTTGGAGAAGAGTTGTTAAGAACTTCTTTTCAAGTGATGCATTTGGGGACTGTTTTAGGAGAAATTTGTGTGTTAGAGCGGGAAATGGAGAAACTGTTCAGTTTTGGCATGATGTTTGTTGGGTTCGATTCCTCTAAAAGATAGGTTTCCAAGGTTATTTGCTCTTTCGAATAACAAAGAGGGTAAGGTTGCAGAATTCAGATTGTACAATGATTCGGGTTGGGTTTGGGATATTCAAATGAGAAGGAATTTGGTGGATTGGGAGGTTGAGCAGTGGCTGCAAATTATCTCTCTGTTGAATAGCTCTTCTTTGTCTCTAGTAGAGGAAGATTGTTGGATTTGGTTGGGAAATGGAGAGGGTTGTTTTACAGCAAAATCATGCATGAAAACTTATTTTGATAGAGAGGGTATTGATCAATTATAAAGTAATTGGGAAAGGTATGTTTGGAAAGGAGTAGCTCCACCACGTGTGGAATCTTTTGTTTGGCAACTTGCTCATCATAGAGTTGCGATGAAAGAGGAACTACTGAAGAGAGGAGTTACTGGGGTTGAAGACTCTGTCTGCCCTATGTGCAGGAAGTACAATGAGTCGGTCTCTCATTTGTTTCTTCACTGTGAAGTGGTATGGGTTTTGTGGGCTAAGTTTTTAAAGTTATGGAATGTTTTCTTTGTGGTTCCTGGTTCGTTGATGGATTTCTTAATTGCCTGGGATGACCTAGTGCCGTGATCTCATATATGGAAGTTTGTTTCAAGAGTAGTGTTGTGGTCTGTTTGGAAATGTAGGAATGAGGTGATTTTTCATAATGGGAAGGTAGATTCAGCGTTGTTGTTCTTCATTTCACGTTTCAGAACTGTTTCTTGGTTTGAAACATCAGTTAAGGATGTTCATTTTCATTTCGATTCCTTGATGGGGGATTTAAAACTAGCAGATCAACTTGTCAATCTGAATAAGAGGTATCTTCCTTCTTCTAAGTGGAGTCCTCCTCCAGAAGGGTTCTTAAAAGTAAATGTAGATGGTGCAATGGTCAAAGGTTGGGATAAGGGTGGAATAGGTGGCTTGATTAGGGATGGCAGTGGGTTGGTGCTTGGGTCATTTTCAGAGAAGGTAGGGGGAGGTCCTCCCTTACTCGCAAAGCTTTTGGCGATCAATAGAGGGTTGATTCTTATTGAGGAAGTTGAAGTTGATTTCTTTTCAAATCAGAGGATCATTTTGGAATCGGATTCTTCTAATGCTCTGAAGTGGATTAATAATCCGAACCTTAGTACTACTTTGTTTCAATCCTTGGTAAGGGATATAGCTTCTACTGTGGAGAGGAAGGGTATTATCACAAGGCTCATCTCGAGAGCAACAAATTGGGAAGCGGATGAATTAGCTAAAGCTGGTATAGGCTGATTTTTAGGTTTGTGTAATGGTTAAGGTGTTATGCCTTGGTTGTTCTTAGTTAGGGAGTATCAGGGTGTGTTATGTTTTCAGATTTATGGTTTTCTGTTTTGTAAGAAGTTGTTAGTTGTTGAGGTGTGGAGGTGTATTATTGTTCTAATTAATAAAAGTTAGAGGCACTCTTTTCCTCCTCCCAATATCCTCCATGTTATGTTTGTAACATGTAGGATAAGAAGGGAGTTTTTAATGAGGCCTTATTTTATCAAAAAAAAATATAAGAAAGTAAAACAAATCACGTGGACAGTTTGAACTGTGAAATAAACTGAGACTACAAGGACAATGCAATAGAAGAGCACAATAGAGTGAATAAATAAAGACAATGCTACAAAGAGTGCATCCATGAATTACTTTGAAAAGCATGTAAATAATGCTTTTAATATCTATATGTGCATCAAACAATGTGACACAAGTCTTTTCGTTCCTATATTCAGCAAAACTTTAAGCTATCACTATGAGCTAAAGTGGACCCCTATATCACAGGCTATATCACATTGGTAGTTTCTCTTCAAAGACAAGGTGACATTCTGATAACTAGGATTGACATACTAGACAATTCAATATTTTGCTTCCTCCACCATACCTGAAATATAAGAATCATTGCATGTATCTATAAAATGTATCTTGAAACAAAATTGAATAGCAAAAAGACAGTACTAGAAGAATTTGAACCTTGATTGCTGGAGTGGAGCCAGCTCTTGAATCCCATAGTATAAGACAAGAATCATCACCAACACTGCAGAATTCCTGAGAACTAAAGACAATGTCCAAATAACACCACAAGAACCAGTGGAAGGAGTTGTTAAAATGATTCAGGAAAGATGTAAGGATTACTCTCTACCCTGTCACTCAGAACATCCTCATGAGACTAATGTCAAACTCCAAATGAATAAAATTTAATATCAGTTAAAACCAAAGACATCAATGACACATCTACCATGCAGCACCTTGGTATAAATCATGAAGAAACAATGACAAAAAACATGAAAATAATCAACTCAATTACCTTGATGGGCAGAAATGTACATCTTCAACAGTATCCTCATGGCCTTGGTAGATACCTCGTGCCTCAATGGAAGGGCCATTAACACCCTTAGAGGCATGTTTTGTACTTGTGCTAGTAGATCCTGCAGACTTTGTGGGCCCTTGCTCCTTTGCCAGAGTAGAGATATGATCATGAATGCTCCATAAAACCACTAACTTGTCCTTGCCTGCAAGTAAAATCTCCTCGTTCAGGAGGATTTGAGAGGAAAATCAATATGAAAAAGAGAAAAGAGGTAAATAGTTAAGTTCCCAGCACATGAACCAATGAGTGGTTTATTTAATTTCCAGAAGAAATACTGCAAGTTGGCATACTCTAAAGTATATAGGGTGTGCCAACTTTCCCCACTTTCTCATAGGTAATTGGAATTAGCTGATAAAATTCGTGCTCCAAGGTTGAAGGTGTTATATTACATTGGCCTCGGGAATTCAAAAGAATCAAACAAAACTAATAGACATAAGATGGGTTGACCAATCACTTTGGAACAAAGATAAAACAATCTCCCATGCAGTAGTGCCTCTCAACAAACCAACATATGATTATAATAGACCATTCGAGTGCCTCAAAATATACTATATCAATCTGGTGATAATGGAATAATCAATAGCTATAAATAAAGAATTATCATGTATCACCGTTATTTAAGTTCTAGAGCTAAAATCCTTCCAAGTAACACAATGATTCAAACCTCCAGATAGGACAAAGGGTTCAGTTGGGCACATAGCAAGAGCAAACTCAGCATTTTCTTGATGTCCAGTCAATATCTGCAATATAGTAGATTCTAAGTTAAAAACAACCTGATGAAAATATGCTGCATCTTAATTTTCTAAAGGTTCATAAACAACTAATACTACACAATTTGCAATAAATCAGGAAATATGAAGATAAGAGTTTTCATTTTGGACACCTAAATATGCAAATTCTACAAATAAGTACATAGATATAGTCAATTTTTTATGACTAAATAAGAGAAAGAAGAAGGCATTGATAAAAAAAATCACAAATGTAATTCCTCCAGTACAAACCAGATCTGGACAAGAATCAGAAGCTCCCAGCACAGCATGGCGATTAGGTTGAGCCTCTACATCCCAAATGAGGACCTATTTTGAAATGTGTTATGGCCACATGGAGCATTAATGACTTGTAAACTTCAAGTAAACAGAAGTAAATAGTATATGTTCCCGCTTATCAAAAGAGAAAATATGAGAAATAATAAATTCTTACATCAGGACTATCAGTGTGTGTCGCAATTATCTTGCTGTCCTGTGGAAGTTCTCTGATTCTGTTCACCTGCAAAATACAAACATAAATCCTAAACAACTCCAAGGAGTTCATTTAAAGCTCTACTTGAATTGCAAGAGAATTTCATCATTGAGAGAATGAACGGATGCATTGGTAATATTTCAAGTATTAACTTATCACAAGTTTATTGAATAAACCCTGTCCTTTCAAGGAAGAAAACCAGTTTTTTCTGTCTTTCTTCATTCCAGTAAAAATAATTGTGCATTGTTCAGTACCTCAGATTGGAACTATCTTAATTCGAAACTTAGTTTTTATCATTCAACAGAAACTAGTAGAGTTAGAAGCAAGTGGAGAATACAAGCCATATATACCTCTCCAGGGTGTATAATAGTTTTATATTTCTTCACAAAGGGAGAACGTGCTTCTTCATTGAACTGCGAGATCAAGCAAGCAAAGATCACCACAACTATTCAATGAAATAGATAAAATCAGGGTAAAATTTTGGATGAAAAAGGAAAGCAATAGGGGTGTTGTTTAAGACATATCACCTGAGCTATGTGTTCAGCAGCAGCAACCCTAGGTTTAACGACCTCACAGTTGGCTATCACAAGTGTGTTTGGAACACTTCCATCAGTCTGGTAGACATACGTAAGTTGAACAACTAGGATAAATCGAACATCAACTAAAAAGAATCTCAAGGCACAATCAGAAGAAATTATACCGTTTGCTAAGGTGAATTGGTAATTATAAAACCTAAACAAAGAATGCAATAGATTCAAACTTTTTCACACAAAGGAAAAACTTCTAAACACACAATAATGTTCTTCGTAAAGATTATGAAGAAATCCATCGCATAAACATTAAAATTCTTCAATTTACTCAAACTAAACTAGAGGCAAAGACTCCGTAACCAGCTTCAAATCTATAATCAATTGGTATCCAGATCAAGTTTCTCCCGTAAAAACGGTCACTCGCCTGTTCTGAAAGGTAAAGACGCTGACGATTCTTGTAGGTAGCTTGCTCTAATTGCGGCCCCCACCTATCATTACAAAAAACCACAAGATATAGTACTAACTGGAATTTGATTGAAAAAGACTTGCATATTCGTGAATATTACATTTCCTAGTGCCAATAATAACAAAAGGAAAGTATATAAAGTAGGAGTAGAAGTATAAAACAAAAATAACAGCAAGCATTTGATATACTGGCAAAGGTGAATTAATGTTCCAATATTAACTGTTTCCACCAGTTTCTCAGCAACCTAACACGTTACATTTAAAAACTTTATCAGTCAAATTTTGAAATCGGAAGCCCGAGAGAGAGAGAGAGAGATAAATGATTGTACGGACCGGCAAGAGAGAGAAGGCCAAACGAGGTTGTGATTAGCGAGCCAATCGTAAAGGACAGGCACCAGAGACTTCCATTGAGTGTATTTCTCCTCCACCGATCTAGCTTTCTGCGACTTCATTGTTCTTTCTCCCTTCGTTCTCAGTTCTCTCTAACAAATTCTCTCTGCTCTCTAGTTTTCTTTTGCATTTGCCGCGCTCCTTTTTGCTTGGGTTTTGCTTTGCCAGTAGGGTAACAATTCTATTCAGGCCTTGTAGCTAGGGAAGGTCACCTGGCTACGTGGGTCAGTTTTTGGGTCACTCCGGCCTCGAATGTTTCGACACATTCCGACGTTAGTGATGTTCCATCCACTCTAAATTTACTTTGAAGTTTTTGATAATTATTTGATAAAAATTAAAATAATTAAAATATGGTTATCTATTTTATAAAAACCTTCATAAACCTAATTTTAAAAAAATCTCATAAAATCAAATCAAATTGATATAGAAGAATAATCGCTCCTTCTTATAACAATTTATCCCTAATTTTTGTATTTCCACTTAAGGCTTAATATATGATTTGATACGTGAATTTGACATTTTCTTCTCAAGTTGATATAAAAATATATATATTTTTTTAATATTAATTTTGAGTTCAGACCCCACAAGAATGGAGATTTCGGAAATATTTTGACCGAGGAGAGTAAGAGACTTGGAGTATATAAATTATATAATATTTATTGTAATTCACCTTTGAAGTTGAATTACTACGATATATATTGATTTGAAATATAAGTTACGATAATATAACTAAATAATTAATTAGGTCTTTTAATTTTTTATTTAAAATTGTGAGTTATGACAATCCAATTAAAAAATTAATTATATTTTTAATTAAATTTCTATGATGTTCCCCTCAAAATTATAATGAATCCATAAATAATATTTTTTTAATCGAAATGTTTTTAAATTCTCCAAAATCACAAGAATTAACATTATACGAGATTTCGACTAGGAATGTAAAATGGGAGAGCGAGTTTGAGATGCTATTCTCCCACTCATCTTTATTAAGAATTTTTATTATCAGTATTATCTCGTGATGGATAAGCATCAAATCTAAAATTATATTTATTTCATGATCCACAAGACTATACTCATTTCTATCCTACCACCCATGTTAATGTAAAAATTCACTAAATCTTTATTGTACTATTAGCATATGTGACATTATTATAATTATTCACTTAAAATAATATTAATTTAGTTAACATTTTCAAAAAGCAAGTTATTAAAAAAATTCAAGTTGATACCTTTTCTTTCCCTTAGTTTGTGGTTTAATATCTATTAGGAGTAGAAGTTCTCCTTAGCTCCCTTATGTAAAAATTGTTTATAATAATAATAATAATCCTTTAGTTAGTAAATTAAAATACAATTGTAACCTAAATTTTAAAAACTCATAAAATAATTTTTTTATATAATAACTTATACAAATAATGATGTGTGGTGAATAGAAATAATACATATACAACATTATACTCATGTTATCGTATTATCCACGCTAAGTCTAAATTTTATTCACATCTTCATCCCACCACTCGTAATATATATATATATATGTATATATATATTGTACATTGAGAAATATGACTACAACATAGCCTACAGTCATAGAGTGGCCAATCCTCTAGCATCAGCTCGTAATAACGGAACAATTTCCTTCGGAGGGTTGGTAAGGACATGAGTTCCCTCTTATCTTTCAAGAGCCATTTTATAGCCAAACGGTTGGCGCATCTATTCCCTTCGCGCCAAGTATGACGGATCTCGATGACCCATCATTCCTTGCAGATTTCCACGCAGTCTTTAACAAGAGCTTCTTCATGCAGGGCTTCCGTTTCACCCTTGATTAAAGCTTCCACGACCCATTCAGCGTCAGCTTCAATTATCAATCTTTCCGCTCCCAAGGACTTCGCCAGGAATAAACCTTGCCTGATTCCCCAAATTTCTGCAATCGAGCAGCTAGTTTTCCCGATTTTTAGTAAGAATCCCCCTTTTCAGTCTCTATTATTATCGCGGATTGAACCTCCTACCGCTGCTAGACCGGTGGTTGTGTTCCGTGCTCAGTATGGGTTGAGAATCCATGCCCCTTCAGGTGGTTTCATCCATCTCACCCAACGTGCTTCTCTGATAACTTTATTGTGAGTTCTTTCCATGGCTGTCTTAATTTCTTCTGCTAGTTTTCGGCCGTGTTGAGTAATTTGGCTTGGATTCCTGTTTCTGTTGTTGAAGTTCGTATCATTTCTATTTTCCCATAAAGCCCAAATAGTAGTAGAGAGTAGGGTACCCCAACTTATCCCATTTTCAAAAACTTTGTTTGACTGACAGTTTTTTCTTAGCCAATCTTTCCAATCTCTAGTGTTAAATTGGCTGTCCTTATGTCGAGCTTTCAATTCTTCCCATACAATCGAATATATTAGTCCTTAAGTGTTAAATTGATACGTGAATTTGATAATTTAATTTGATATTTTCCAATCTCGAGTGTTAAATTGATACGTGAATTATTTCCAATCGAATTAAGGATGTTAATGGAATGAGTTTAAACATCCTTAATTTCAACTATTACACAAAGTTATAAAATTAGATTTTGATTCGATTCGATCTATCACAGCACGTCTATTTCAATTGAATTATATTGGGCTTCTGAAAGAAACTTCACTAAGGAAAGTGAAAGGACACAATTGTAATTTACTTCAAGAAAACCCTACTTCCACTAATATAAAACCTCTTATGTTTTGTTTCCTCTTTTACCTCTCTAATTGGTTCATATCTTCAAAAACCCTGAAATTTGAACAGGTTCATTCTTCGATTCTTAGCTCAATATCATTATGATATGTTTTGATTTGGTTTAGACGATTTTAATATTACTAAATTTGGGTTGAATCTGAAGCAGCGAGGTGCAGGGAAGAGATAAAAATGGCGACAGTTCCGGGACAGTTGATTTGGGAGGTAGTGAAGAAGAACAATTGTTTCTTGGTGAAGCAATTTGGAAGAGGAACTGCTGGAGTTCGATTCAGCAAGGAGCCCAACAATCTCTACAATCTCAACTCCTACAAACACTCTGGTAATATATATTGATCGCAAAGGACAAATGAATATTATAGTCATGGCCGTTTACTATTTATTTAGTAGAACACAAATGGAAATGTTATTATATGTAGACACACACACACGTATATATAAGCAAATATTTGAGGAAATTGTAAGAGAAGAATTGGGTATTTCTTAACTCTTCGTTTGTTTGCTGCTTCTTAGGGAAAGAAAATGAAACTTTTCGTTTCACCTTAACCAGAGGAAAATGATTAATTTTGCATTCTAATTTTCAAACAGCACTGAAAATTTACAATTTGACCTTGAGCAACTATAATCCAGCTCATTTTTTATTAGGTAAATGATCTTGGATATTTATCTTGAATTGAACTTGAGCTTCAAGCTTCAAATTTATTGGAGTTTTTGCTCTTGAGCACTGCTCAACTCGATTTCACCAATAGAATGTGGTGGAAAATGGTAAATGTTGTATGGTGTTAAGAGTTATAAAGGAGAATGGTAAAAAGCTGGAAAATCTTAGTTGGAAATTTGACGTTATATGTTGTATTTGTTGATGATGTTTTAAGAATCCTTTGAATTGTATTCACTTATTTCTTTACTGGATCTGTTTAATTTTAGGGTTGGCAAACAAGAAAACTGTCACCATTCAACCTGGGGGCAAGGACCAGTCTGTGCTGTTAGCAACAACCAAGACTAAGAAGCAGAACAAGCCTTCGAGCTTGCTTCACAAGTCTGTCATGAAAAAGGAGTTCCCCACGATGGTCAAGGCAGTCAAAAACCAGGTAAAGTGGCTTGCTTTAGGAGCGTTTGAAGTTTTTGCCTAGCTAATTCCAGTCCTGAATCTAACTGTTAAGACTTGTTAGATTCTTTACTTGAATGATGATTTTAAGTGCATCATGTTCCTGAATCATGCAGTAATATTAGAATTGTATTTGTTGGGTTCTCTAATGGAACGTTCTAGTTACATTTGGCTTCTGAGTTCTGAAATGGTGCATCTTTTATGCTTAATGTAGCTCTACTTCAGGCAATAATTGTATATGTATGCTTAGTTAACCCTTTCTGGGTATAGATTTTCAATATTATTCTAAACCACATTTGTGTAAATTTTGCTTCTTGGTTATATAACTTGTCTTACCATTTTGATTCTTTCATGAATTTTCTCTAGTTCTCTATGATTCAAAATTGCAGGTGACGGACAACTATTACAGGCCTGATTTGACAAAAGCTGCCCTCGCAAGGTTGAGTGCGGTGCACCGCAGTCTGAAGGTTGCCAAGTCCGGTGTCAAGAAGAGAAACCGACAAGCATTGAAAATCAGTGGCAGGAAGTGAGCTTTACAATATGGAGGTTATACAGTTCATTGTGCTGCAATTTAGTGTTGTTTTGGATCCTCGTCTTGTTTTGAAATAGACTTTCTTTCATGGTTTTAGCTTGGTGGATTTTATAGTTAGATTTCCAAAACAAAAGTGATCAGCATGCTTCTTTCTATTTTGTTTATCGGATTATAATATTGTAAGTTCGATCATTTTGTCCTTTATAATTCGGTTATGGTTGTCCCTGCATGATTGCAAAACATAGTTATCGCTTTGTCCGTGAAGTTCAGATTAATCAAATCCTGCAAAGCTTGAATTTAAATGATCTTATTCTCAAGATCTTTATATTACTGTAATGATACACTCAATTCAGATTAGCTCAATCCATGTGCCAATGAGAAAGCCATGCAGTTGCTGACAAGGAGACCAGACATCGTGTATAATTATGACTTGTTTCATCTATTCCTTATTTGAAAATTGGTATTGCAAGTAGTTGGCATTGATTTTGGTGATGGTGTTGGGTCTAAACTTGAATTCGACAGAAATTTAAGGTATAAAATCATTTTTTTATTTTGATCATTCAATTATTGAAAATTTTAAGCTTGTCATTGAAATCAACTATTGATATTTTGGTATTAGTTATGTTGTGAGCGATGGTTAATGGTGGTTGAATGCAGTAATAGAGGATATCGGTGATGAGGAAGAATAATGATAGAATTTTAGGTTAATTTCAAAAAGAAAACTCCAAACACAATGTTTTGGTGCTAGTGCGAAGATTGGGTGACGGGAACAGCACAATTTAAAATTTTAGTGATGAAATTTTTAGAAAAATATGTATGAATGATCAAAATAGAAACATATTGAAAGTTCGGTGTCTAAAAATGTGTAAATGCATACGCCGTCATCAATTAATCAGATAATAAAACATCAAATAAAGTTAATTTTAATTTTAAGATATGATAATATATCATTATATCGTTCAGACGTTCACTGATGATAATTAAAATTTATGCACTATCATTGAATGTATGTTAAAATTAAGAAAAATATTATTTAAGTCAAATATTACAATATTCAAAATACTATTAATAATTTGAATTGATTAATAACATTATCAAAATAAGACTTAATTTATCCGAACCAGATCACAAATTGTGCAACTCTTTCAGATCCTCGCTTTGAAACCCACTCCGTTATTGATAATAGACGAACCAAAACCAAAATTATACCATTCACTTTTCCTCAACTCGGACAGTCATTATCAGCGGCATTCAGTAATTTCATGGTGTATTTCCAGATTGTTGCATCCCTGAGATTGATCAATAATTTTTTCTTGTTGTCGAGTTTCAAAGCTTTCAATGATGGCGAAACTAAGGACTCACTTAGTTCCGATTGATGAACTGATGAATCACTAGGGATCGATCCCGGGATGTCTCGAACAGTAGCTTTCGATTTGTTCGTCGATCGGATTATAAGCTGTTTTCCAGTGAGTTTATCTCCCCCTAGATCATGGTAATCGACTGCGGATGCTTAGCTCAACGTTCAAAAACCAGTGAATCCGTTAACAACCATTGCGCCGACGTTTAAGGATCCGAATAACTCGCCGGAAGGACTGCGGATTAATAACGCGGCGAAAGCCGGCGCCGTCGCCGATGAATCCGTCGGGAGGACATTACTGATGAGTATACGAACGGTTCCGATGAGCTTGTCTCGGAAGATACTGACGGCGTAAATCGGGCGAGACTTTGAAGAGGAATTTATCGTTCCAGGTCGGGTTTCCGCCGCCGATGCGATCGACTCGAGTCCGGAGCTTCGTCGATGGATCGACCCAAGCAATGGCGTAGGCTTTTGTTCGACGATTAAGCCCTTGTGCTGAGATTAAGTTGATTTCAAGCACCTGAGGTGACGCCTCCATTATTAGTTTCTCAAAATATCCTCTGTTTTTTCCCTCAATAAATTTATAGATTTATTCATTGTTACTTTCTCTAACATCTAGCATTTATAAAGTTAACTGCAATTTTTTTCTGACAAAATTATTTTGATTCTAAAAATTAATTTTTAATTATAATTTATATTGAATTAATTTAAAATTTTAATCATATTTAAACTTTGAATTTAAAAAATTAAAATAATTGAAAAATTAAATATGACGATGATATATTTTATTTTATAACTAAAAATTTAATTACTTTATTATTCGATCTCTAATTTTTTTTTTTTTAATTATTTATTGTAAGTCATTAATGGAATCATATACTACACTATGATAAATATTCATATAATTTCAATTTTTAATTTAATTTTGTAAAATTTCCTTATTTATTAGGATAGATTGTATATTTAGTTTAATTGTTATTTTTATTTTATTTTAGTCATTTAATTATTTTTTTAAAATATAATGTTATGTTTTAATAATGACATTAATTTTTTAAATTTTGTCCCATATAAATAATACATCACTGTTACAGACAGTGAGAGGATATCCTTAAACCATAAAATCCACGAAAATCAGCCACCATGTATAGAGTTGCGCTTTCCGTTCAGGGCTCTTAAGGTCAGTTACTTTTGACACTCAAAGCTCTATGTATTTTCTGTTATTTATCGAGAAAATACAGGAATTCGATATGAAAGAAGAAGACCCATAACAAGTCGGGTTTTTGTCTTATGGGTTTCATTTCCAGACCCGTTTCAATGTCCATCAATCACATTCTTTTCATTCGTTATCATTTTATGAAGTTAAGTGGTTATGTTATTTTCTGTTTATAACTTATATTCCTTGTATGATGATGTTTATTGGCAATGGTATTGGTTTTTATTTAACAGAAACGATGGAAGCTATGCTATATCCTTATTTTCTTGATTGTGTATGTTTTTTAGTGTCTTTCAACTATATTATGGTGCTTGTTAATTGTTATATACATTACCATGTATGATGAGCGTCTGGTTCAATTATGTTTTGCTCCACTTGATGGAGCTGGTGCTGGTCAAAATTCAACTGTTGGATGGACTGATCTTCTATGTAGCACTTACAGAGAATGCTTTTCAAACATTTATGAATAGGGCCGCACCGGTAATTTGGCAGCTGCTCGTTACGCTACTTCAAGTGCTGTTGCTGCTTTGGATACGCATTAGATGGTGTTTCCCTTCCACCCCCATTACTGATTATGTTGCACCAGTGAAACCAAAGTTAAAACCTCTACAATGGTGTGAGAATATCCTCGGAGCTTTTACGGTATTGAAAATTTCGACTCATCATTTATCGAGACATTATATCCTTTCTTAAGTGTTACTGCTACTTCATTTGCTGATTGTTTAATTGGTTATGGTTTAGTCATGCTCTTCGCTTGTTTTATCAGACTCCTGCTGCCTCCATTGGTTTATTCATTAATTGTGGTTCCATTTATGAGACACCGATGTCATCTGGTGCCTCCCACTTGCTGGAGCGAATGGCATTCAAGAGCACAACCAACCGCAGCCACTTGCGTGTTGTTAGGGAAGTTGAGGCAATGGAGGTAACACATCGGCCTCGGCCTCTAGGGAGTGCATGACATACACCTTTGATGCCCTTAAGACTTATGTTCCTGAAATGGTAGAATGCTTGACTGTGGCGGAACCCCGCTTTTTTGGATTGGAAGTTAATGCAGAGGTAATTTGTTGTAATCCTTTACCATTTCGATTTAAATTGAAAGTTGTAGAAGAAGCACCTACTAATCTTAGCTTATGTTATTTAGAGTAAGTACCATTTTCTAATTTTCCATATCATTATGCATTCTTATTAATGAACTCTACAGTTCTTAGTACAAGTAAAGTTAAATGCATATATGTAGATTTATTGGCTTAGCATCCATACATATGTGGGAGCATTGGGAGAATGAGGACTCAATGATTTGGCCATTGATAATAAGCTTGGAATTTGTTCCTTTTCACTTTATTCGGTTCTTTGCCCTTATTTTGAGTTTTCGATATGTATCGCATTCTTTTACAGCTGCAAAAGATGAAAGCTGAATTGGAGGAAGTTTCAAAAACCTGAGCGCTTAATTTTGGAGGCAGTTCACTCTGCTGGTTACTCTGGGCACTGGCCAATCCCCTCTTGGCTTCTGAATCAGCAATAGACAGATTGGACAGTGGCATTTTGGAAGAATTCGTTACTGTAAGAATTTTTCTATTCTGTCCATATCCTTGCATGTTCTTTTACATATATAGATGATTCATTTTAGTTTTAGTACTTCGAACATGACTGTGTGGGATTGATGGTGTTTCCAAGTTTGTTTCCGTGTTTATTTTGCTGAATGGTGGTTTGTCTGAGGGGTTCAGGAGAACTATAAGGGGAATAGAATTGTCCTGGCAGCATCTGGCATTGAAAATGAAGAGCTCTTCAGATTGCTGAACACTTCTTCCGACCTCCCAGCCGGACCCCAACCAAAAGAGCCAAAATCTGTTTATGTTGGTGGTGATTTTCGTCAACGAGCTGATTCACTGGTACATTTTACCATTCAATGATATAAATAAAATTAGGAAAGAGAAAATAACTTTTTTCGAACTTCAAGATTCTTCTTGGCGTAGATTGAACGATTGGTTGTAAATTGCAGAGTACCCATTCGCTCTTGCTTTTGAAGTACCTGGTGGCTGGAATACAAGAAAGACTCTGTCACTTTGACTGTAATGCAGGTGCCGGGTTTTGAACTTTGCTTCATTTATGGTTTAATTTTGTTAGAATCTTTTCATTAATTAAGTTCTACTGTGAATCTTCGGGTCAGACAAATATGTTTTGTGAAAAACTCTTCGACATTTTTTTTAGTTTCTCTTATCATTTATATGGTTCCTGCTTGAATGGTAATGATTCTGCTTGACCTGCAGATGCTTATGGGAGGAGGTGGCTCATTTTCAGCTGGAGGTCCCGGGAAAGGGATGCACTCTCGGCTATGTAAGTTCTGCTTTATCTAGGATGTAGCCATAATTTGCTCTGAACCTTCAGTTTTCTTAAAGTACTCATATTGAACACATATGCGGAGACATGAGTCTGAGTCACGCACAAACCTATATCTGCAATTTTCATTAGATTTCAGCTGAGCTGCTGAAGTCATTTGTCTTACAATTTGTTTTGCAACGATCTTGCATGCTCCCTTTCCTGTCCATTGTGAAAATATCGTGAGACTTCTGCATGTGTTATTTCCGAATTTCTTTCATGCCTTCATCGCGTTACTTTTCTTTT